CTTTTAGAAGAGAAATTTCTGCTCAGTTGTTTGTTATTGATCAGTGGAAAGAACAAAATGCTTCACATGCAGTGGGGACCATATATCTTTGTATCTTTAGCAATAAGATCAAATACTGGCTTCTGAAGTACAGCCAGGGCACTGCATGGCAGACCCTATACTTCTCACTGGGACCTTGTTTGTGACTTCTGCTTCTAACAACGGGATCAGCAGAGAGGTTTTTGTGATGAGGTGAGGGATGTGGTTAGTGTTTTTTTCTTGATTCTTCCAAAGTGTCTGCATGAGTGGGTAGCGCAGCTCCCTCTCCCTACCTGGAAACTTCCTTTTTCAGAAGCCTAAACATGGCAATGTATGCACTTGATGCACATCAGCGTCCTGTCTACAGGACATGAACCTGGATGAGCAGATTGGGACTGGATGTGATGCTTCTATGAGTCTGATCCAGGGCTTTACTCCTGGGTAGGAAACAAATCCCAGGAGGTGCTGATATTTAGAGAAAGGAAGCAATGTGGATTGAAGCACGTCGCACTCTCCATGCAGGACCAGCTTCCAGCAGAAGAGGTTTTCCCTGGACTAGCGTGACAGTGCATCTGAGCCCAGACAGGATGGATCTGACATGGACCAGTACAACCTTCAGGTAAGAAAGCCATCTCTCTGGATCTATGGTCTTGCCTGTATAACGAGCAAAGGGGAATTGTACTGTGCATTACAGATCTATTCTATATTACCCAGGGAAGCTCGCCTATGCATGACCATGTTGTACCTGAGGGTGCAGCAGTTGTGTCTGCAGCTGTGCCAGAAGCTTTAATGTGGCCCTGGGGCCTCCACAGACCTCATGGATCTACTGTGGTCAAAGGAAAAGTGCCCCTTTCTTCCCCTGGACTGGTTGGCAGAGCTGTGCCTGTGTCATGCTGTAGATGAGAGACAATCTAGCTTGCTCAGCTCTGTGCAGGTTTGTTATTTAGAGCATAGCCTCAGAAAACAGGATGCCAGAACCAGATGCCTCCAGGAGCTGTTTTTTATTAATTTAATTAATTATTTATTATAGGTCTATGTTAATTTTATTTATGTATTTCTTCTTTAATACATTTCCCTTTTTGTTTTATTAATGCATTTTACATTGTTATGGGCATAGTACAGGCAGTGGAGCTAGTCATGTCAATACTAGATATTGAACTGTTGTCCTGCCAGATCTCAGAGGGCAAAGCTAAGGCTGAACATCCACCCTGAAATCAGCACTTGCTAGTCCTGAAGGCCTAAATCCAAATGGGACCTATCATGTGTTTAGGATTCTGTACCTGACATCTAAGTGTCACAGTCATTCCACTTTAAAGCTATAGATGCTCAACTATTCACAACAATCAAGTTTCTGGTTTTCTGCTCAACATCACTGGCTGAAGTCTCAGAGACGTCTGGCCTCACCCCATAATTCTGCTCAGATCAGGTCTCTGGAATAGACCTCAGATAAATGCCAACAAACATTACCATATTTGTTTACTTTATCTGCCAGTCCAGCAGATAGAGCAAGTAACCTTTGGAGAGACAGAAAATGAAGACTTGAGTCCCATCCTTACTCTGTCTGATTTGGTTCTGGGATTAAACCTGATTCCTCCACTTCCTGGAGGGGTGTATAGCCAGAGGCAACTGCAGAACCCCTGCCTGTAGCTCTGTGGCTGGTTTCATCACCTTAGGCAAGGGTCCTGAACTTCATGTTTCTGAGAAGAGACACTTGCTGTTCTTGGCCCACAGACTGCTACCTAAGCCCTTCTTCTTGGCCCCTCCTGCTAACTACTTCAGCTGACTTCCAGCTTGCTCTGCTGCTACCTTAACAATCTCCCCATCTTGTACAGTAAGCAACCTAATTCAAGACTACACCTGTCTGTGGGTGGGAAGACACCTAGGAGCTTGGCATTGCCATGTAACTGGGCTACTTGTGAGCCCTGCTTGCTGCAATCGTGTCTTAGCACAGCAGCAGCATGTGGGAAGCCGGTTGTGAGGCACCACAGTGCCCAACTGTTTAAGCCTTTCATGAATGCTCAAAGAGCCACAGAAGAGGAAGATTTCAAAACCAGCTCTGGATCCTGGAGCTCACAAGCATCTCAGGAGATACTTGCAAGAACAGGTCTGGTCTCAGCCAATGGAGGTCTATGGTACACACCTTGTGGGCAGTGTGGTATCGAGGAAGGGTACAGGGCTTTGAATTGCTCTTTGATATTTATAATCTTGTTGATTTTTAAAAGCAATTCTTCTGGTGTGTTTAATACCACGGGCACAAGGAGGACTCGAGAGGCCTAAGGCAAGAGAGAGGATTACTCTTTGCGTACAGGCTCAGCAGAGCGATAACCTGATGTAACAGGATCAGACACCTGGTTTGCTTCTGCATAGAGGACTCAAAGGCAATCAGCCCCATTTGCCCCTGCCTGCTCAGCCATGACTCCAGGCTGTGAAAAACATGAATTATGTGCAGAAAAAGTTTTGAGACTAAACAAAGAATTCATTTTGGTTTCTTTTCCTTGTTTCCAACTACAGCCTGTTGGGTACAACCAGGCCAATAGACTCAAGCACTTTTTTTTACACAGAAGGACCAGAAATATTTTTCTTTTCTGAACAGAAACTGAGAGTCTTGTGCAAAGACAAAGGCTGGGATTTAAAGATAGTGATGAATGTGTTTTGAGCTATAATAATAAAATCCCAAGAAACATGGGGCTGGATGAAGTACCAGACTGGAATGTGAGTGTTTGGGGGCAGGGGGGTGAAGGGAAATGGTTTGGTCTTCTGCAGTCCAGCTGTTAGCCACAAACCAGCAGTCTTGCACTTGGACTTTGCACCCCTGTTGCAAGGTCTCCATCTTCCACATTACAGCACTGTGCCTTCTCTTCTTTCCCACTCTGCAACTGCTCCCAAGGGGCCTCTGAGGATGCTACAGAAGTCCTGTGCTGGAGAACACCCTCCACCTGCAGTCCTGAGCTGGTGTCATTCCCCACATTGTGGATTTATCCTATCATGCACCTGGATGTGATCCCATCTGATGTCCTGGAGAAGAAGGTACTCTCAGGGCTGTTTCTCACCAGGAGCTGCTGCCTCTGCCTATGGGGCAGCTTTGCTTGCTGCCCCTCTGCCCTCGGGAGCCACTGTTTTGGGGCCACCTGGCAGCTGCAGCCAGAAGTTTTGCTCTTTCAGCAAAATTGGGGTGTGCATCATAATGCCTTTGCCCCTACACTGACTTACTGCCAGCAAGCACATGTATAGATCTTGCTATATATAAACAAGCAGGGTCAGAGCTCTATTTTTAGCCTATCTCAAAATACATCCCTTGCTGTGCATTTCTTGCCACCGATTTATAGTCTTGTCTCCCTGATGCCAAAAGTCCTGTGAGGTCAGTGAGGTCTGTCAGCCCCACCAAAGTGGGGCAACAGGGTAGAAAACTGCAATAGGATGTCTCACAAAACCAGGCCCTGCCATGAGCACAAAATGGAGTGGGTACTTGGGCTAAAATATCCCTTTGACATTTCAGGTGAGGAGATCTCCAGGACATTTTTTACCATGCAGGGTCAAACACCCTGTAAAATGAAAGGCCAGCAGCTCCAATGTTCCAGAGCCAGCTAAAGGCACAGGTAGGGAGTGTCAAGAAGAGTTGGACAGAGGGGGACACTTGTCACACCACAATAAGCCTCTCCTGCAGTATTGGGTACATACAGATTTTTTCTCTCTAAGGCTGAGCTTTGCTCCCTCCTATAGCTGGTAGGGTTGGGGAATACAGGGCAAGCACAGCTCATTTATCTTGTGCCAGTGTGTGATGTGATTGTTGCTACAGTGTGATGGTTCTGTTTACACTTCAAACATTTTCTGAGAGCCACCACGGTAACAATGAATAAAGTGCTGCTTCTGGGCTGTGGACCTGGGTGATTTTGAGTAATTAGCTTTCCATCTTCCTGAGGCCAGACTGCCTTTGGAGATGTTTGCAGTGCAGTTGATGTGTCACTGCTGCTATTTAACCTGGTTACATGGGGACAGGAGGTGGCTGACCTAAAGCTGGAAAGGGAGGGAACATTTCCATAAAGGGAAACAGACAAGCATAAAAGATAGGGCTTGGATGCAGGTGGCATGGGAAGGGGATGGAGGTGATATGTGAAAGGGTAGAGAGAGTGAACCTGGGAGGTGGCGACTACTCCTGTTGCAGTGACGCCTCTTTCCCGTGGCTGCATGCTCTGCATCCAGCCCCTTTCCTCTGGCTCCCTGGGGTGCACACCCAGCCTGCTCTGGGAAGGCGGAGCAGAGTGCCATGTGGGAGTCTCTCCTGCTTCCATCACTTTCTCTGGCCCCTGGTGACAAGGTCGTCCCTGGGGGACAGTTTGCTTTGAAGGGCTCTGTGTTGCAAAGGGCTCCCACGCTCCCTCACTTTGCCGTCCCATTGCAAGTCACAGCGCAGCTCCTGAGCTGGGCCAGCTGTCTGCGCCTACGTGCTGCAGCCCAGGATGAGCTGATCGTCTTACTCTCTTTCATCACAGGCTGAGCTTAATTTCATTTGCCTGGCAATAGTCCTGGCTCGTCCAGCCCGTAGCTGGTTACTCATGGTAACTTGTGTCATCATAACTCAGCTCTGAGTCCCACCTCTGGCAATTTGACTGTAAATCTTGTGCTGTTTCAGGATTTTTTTTCTTACTATCTTGGCTTCTGGAAGCCTCTGGTCTGACAAAAATCTGTTCTTTTGCTTTTATAACACTTTCCACATTTCCTGTCTATGGAAAAAAAGACCTTGAAAATGGGATTCCAGTATTCTTGGTGGGCTGGGAAAAAAGAGGGGAAATGCATCAACTGTTAAGAAATAATCATGGCTTTCTAGCAGTTTCATATCAGAGGGAGTCAAGGAGGTTTTGAAACAACCCTTTGTCTTTATTCATTTTATAAACCATGGCTCTTTGCAACTTTAGACCAGTTAACTGAAAGGCAACAGAGAACTAATTGTATCTTGCTTTTCTTAATCTTTATACCAGGGTTAACATGGATTTCTAAGCAGGAAAACTGGAAGTATCCTACTAGATCAGTCAACAGAACTAGTAGAACTCCAGTGCAAAAATCCACAAGCTGCGCAAATCTATACCAGATGGAAGACTGTGTACAGAATCATTTCAGCAAATACCTGGAGGAGGAAGGTAAAGATTATGAAGATGTGTGAAATGGACAGTTTATTTCTTACAAGTTTCTTACAGTTACCTATGATGTTTTCAAGGCAAAATATTGTACGTTAATCTATGACTCATTACATACATAGGATTTATTTATTAATTCCTTATTTGTAATTAATGAAAAAAATATGTAAAGTAGAAGTCTTTCAATGCAAAACTATATTTACATGGGGGCAGGAGGCTGTTACTATTAAACAATAGTAAGATTGCCACCTTGGGTTGAGTATCAGTGTCAGCTATAACTGAATTTTTTGTTCATGGCTTGCTGATTATCAGAATATAAACTAGGAGAAGAAAAGACTGGTAATGTAGGCTTGCTACAATCTGCTGTAGCCCAGGAAGAGTCTGGAGACTGCAGAAAGCTGGGAAAGACAGAAGAGCTGTTGAGTCATAGTGTACCTTAAGGAAGACTTGCCATTAAGTGGGGTACCCCAATATTTGGAAGGGCATAACGAGAATTTCCTGCCCACCCGCCCCCTGCATTCTTCCCACCACATATCATGGAGCACTCCCTGCCCACAGTGCATTAATTGCAAATTAACTTCAGACCCATAGAATGGAGGACAAAAGCTGCAACAACTTTGAGGTGCTGTATGAGAGTGATTAAGAGCATCCCTGGTGTCCCAGATTCAGGCTGGGGAACTTTTTATTATAAACCCCTGAGATTATTCTAAGAAACAGACTGTAACCCACCTCCCTGTGAAGCCCAAATTCATTGCTCTGTGTGTGAGCATTTAATTGAATATGGCTATTTAGTGATTAAAAATCATAGTGAGAAACTGGCACTGTCCCTCTGTTAACCCTTAATATTCTGGCATTTATCTCACTTCCAGCTAGTCATGAAGGGAAAGACTAAGAGCAGGATTAGGCAGGCCAAAAAGATGGCCAGTGCCTAGCTCCTGATGTATGGTCATTTTGTGCTGAATGGAGAATCCACACTGTCTGATGGATGTGGTGGCCAAAGCCCAAATTTTTTGGTTACATATCATGGGGAAGAGAATGGAAGAAGAACCAGAGGAACCTAGGGTTTGAATTTTGGCTGGGTCCTGTTTGCTGCTCCCATCAACAGTGCCCCAAGTGCTAATTATAATTTCCTTATTCTGCTTTGGTCAGGGCATATGACAAAGTGGGGTGAAAGCCAAAAATAAGCAGCCCTCAGAATAGCCCTTTCCACATCTTCCTGCTAATGTCATCTCTGAAGAAGACTGCTTGTTCCCCTTCAGATGAGCTTTCAGAGGCTATTTTAATCCATTTTTAGTGGCAAACAGCATTTATCAGAATAAGTATGGGCTGGTCGCCAGCTTCTTCAGATCTCTGACAGCCTGGAGGGGAAAGTCTCTGAAAAATAACTGAGTGTGCTTCTACTGCATGTTGCCCTGCCCAGGGGATTTTGGGGACATAATAAGGAAACATTCATCTGATGGAGCAGAGCCCAGGAACCAGCGCTTTGCTAAAACCAGCAATTCCCCTGTCATCAGCTCCTGTTCCCAGGAATCAGAGCTCTTGTTCTTGTCATCATTGTGGATGTTTTCAGATTCAATTTAGCAATCATTAGGAGGCAAGAAGCAAGGTTGACAAAAAGGTTAGAGAGGCACTCATTTCTGAGTCACTGCTTAGAATATGCCCCCCGCTAATTGAGTTCAAAAATTGTCACTGACAGTCATCTCATGGCCACTCGATGGTCTCCGATGTGTTTATGATCTTTGCCAAGTTCATAAACTCTTCAGAGCTATATTTTTGAAAATGCCATATTGAACACTAATTGGCATTCCCAGGGAAGCAAACCTGGAACAGACTGCGAAGTTTAAATTCTCCCTTTCCCTGGAGGAATTTTAGTACTAGGCAGTACCTAAGGATCTTGCCCTACTGCTCTATCTCAGTGGTCTGTCTTGATCTCTGGGACTGTCATTTTTCACCAGTTCTAAACCAATTTTAACATATCTTAGGAATAATATATGTGGTGGGTTACTGCCTGACTTCCCTAGGCAACGGGGTGACAGGCAAGGGAGACAGAGCCAACAGAAGGGTAGAGGATAACACGAGAGATCTTGTGGCTTGACAGAGGTTGCCATAGGAGAAATTTAGGAAAATATTGCTACATTTGTTCTCATTTGTCAGAGTGACTTTGAAGACCACTTGATCTGGTTTTAATCCATTGATATCTCTTGTATTCAAAACCAGGCATCTGAAATGCAGATCAGAAGAGGTTCACAAGCAGTACTGTGAAGAAAGTATGTGATACCTGATGCAAATTTGGATCCATGATCCTGGCTTTACACCATTACACCATTTACAGCATTACAATGATAAATTTTTTGCTATGCAGTAGAAACTTGTTGCATTTCATCAAGAATAGGATGGTACACATCCATTTTCTCTCTCTCCTGACCTGAGACCCAATTATATGTTTTATCATGTTCTTAACATGTCATGTGTTTTGACAGTCACAATAGACATTTCAGGATGATACAGGAATTTGCACAATGCTGTTAAATTCTTGCTTCTTTATTATTTAAAAGGGTGAAGACTGGTAGTAACAGAACCTATCCGACATGTCTACGTGTAGATGCAAACAAGCCTTCAAGGAGTATCAGCCATTTTTTTCTTCCTATTTGATTTCACTGGCTTTGTGAGAGGAGAGGAGACTCGGCTGGAGGCGAACAGGTAGAACACATTTCTAATTATCTCAAGTCTAAAGTCTGACTAGACCATCCTTGTGGCTATTTTTGACCTCCATCAGTGCACTGTCAGGGTCTTGTGACATGTGCATTTGTTGCCTGACAAATGCTAATAAACCTGACTTACCTATTGTGTGTCATTCTTTCAACACCAGTAGGGCAGTTACACTTTTACAGTGAAATACAGCCCCTTTAACTGGATTGTGTAAGGTTTCCAGCAAAAAACAAATGGCAGCCCCTTACCTACCAGCTCCTGTCAATTCTGTTTCACTTTGTTTCACATACATCTTTGGCTGTTGAGTGTGACAGTCTTTAAACTTTGCAGTGGGAAGAGTATAGGATGACTCAGTCTGCTGCAACAAGCTGGAAAGTTTCTGGTGGCTGCCTCCAGACTAATTAATTTATCATGAAAGTGGAGGAGTTTTGGTTTGCTGACTATTGCCATGCTTGTTTTCCCTGCCTGGGCTTCCCCTGTTATTTCTAGGTGGATCTTTAATGGAAAAATTGGGTCTGCCTTCTGTAAGTGCACCCGTCTCTGTGATGATGCTGCAGTCCCAGGCAGGAAACCCTAGCAGTGTTTCCCCTTGTGTGACTCCAGTCCCCCTGCACCATCACAGCACATCCAGGGCATGGCAGGGACCAGGCTGCTGAGAGCATGCAGGGTAGCAGGGATGGCACCTGCAGTCCCACGGAGAAGGCAGCTGCCCTTGGCTCACTGCACCACACTCTTGGCTGCTTCCTGCCTTGGTGCCTTAGTTGTTGTGCCAGCTAGAGCCTTGAGGCTGCTGCTACTGATTTACTAGTTCAGTAAATATCCCTGCTGCGAGTGCAGATGAAAGCATCCCCATCTCAGGTAGGGCTGGTGCCAGGAGTGCCAGAGAGCAGTCCAAATGGTTTCAGGGAAAGCTGGAAAGGACATTTTATGATCCTAGCAACAGGTTTGAGTCATGAATGCCCTTCCACTCATGCACTCCTGCATTCGCAGCCTGAAGTGCCAACTGCCTTGTCACAGCTATTCCTACTCTTTACAGAGATGGATCTACCCTTATGCAGTTCTGCCATGGAAGTCAGTTTTGATATGTGTGTTAGGTAGTAAAGCTTGGGCATCCTCATGACTACTAAAAGTGTTGCAATGCTTTCAACTGGAGAATAAAGGCATCTTTGTCACCTTGGCTCAACCGTATTCTCTTCCCTGTATTCTCAGGGATAGGTGCTGCTCCTCACCAAGTGATGGGGGTATTTAAGATATTGAATTTCTGTAGAGGGTCTAACATTTGGAGTTAAGTTTGCATCTCTGAACATCTAAAAGTGGTAGTGGATGACATAAAACTGAGTGGGTAAACTCCTTATAGGCAAAATGAGAAGGGATGAGCTCTGCCAGAGTTTGCCCTTTACACCATCTGCAGAAGGTCATGGCCTCTGTTTTATGTTGAGGAAATGCTGAGAGCAGACTGTGACAAGGAAGCAGGAAGCAAGCAGGGGCTTAAGGAATCAAAGGAGAGAAAACCAGAAATGACACTTGAAGGCAGGAGACTGGTGGAGAATGTCAGCTCCTTAAATTTGCAGGGTTGCAGAAACAAAGGGGAGGTCTTGTGAACTTAATGTTTAGTTTTGTCTTTGGATACTTGTATCAATACAGGGGGAGAAGTTATCTTAAAAGGTTTGCATTGCAGTCTGGCAAGCAAAGTTTCCTTCTCGTCATTTCCCTGAATTCCCTTGGTAGAAGTCAATTCCCAAGGCAGAGGCAGTACACGGTGTGCGCATGTACTGGGGGTGCAGTACAGAAATGAGTAAGCAAAGGGTTGCCTCTTGCCCTGAGTTCAGAGAGCTTGGACACGTTGTCCTGACAGTAGGCACACACCAGAGGTGGGGGGCAAAGCTCTGTTCCTGGCAGGCCAGAGTTGCCTTTAGCATCTGCGTCCCCACCCAGTCCTCCACCGCCCTCTCATACAGGGCACTTTGACATAACACTATTTTGGATGGGCTTCCAGAGACCTTTTAAGTTTCCTTTATAGCTGCAATTTCCTGGTAAAACTTGGCTGAATTATGCAGGCTTTTTGCAGCAAAACGGGTTCAAGACCCTCTATTTTTAGTCCAGCTCTAAACAAGTGCAAGAATTACCGCCTGCTAGTCTCGTGTTCCTCTGTGGCTCTCTCCCTCACCAGGGCTGTCAGCTTTCTGTGCTAGGTAGCTGTTTGGTAGCAGGAACAGTCAGAGAAATAGGAACTACTCAGTCTCAAAGAAACCATAACCTGCTTTTCCAGGACCATAAAAAGCCAATCAACGCTCTTGATTTGTCACAACAAGCTGATGTGACATTAACTAGCAAGTCCAGGCTGCTCTCAGAACAGGATGTCTGAAAAGCATGAAGGCTTTTAGAAGATTGTTGATCAGGATAGAACATGAGACAAATGTAACGACATAACACAGGAGTATTGAGAGTTTATGTGTGTGTACTGTTTATATAGCGATGTATTTGTGCATGATATGTTACAGATATTTAAACGCACATTCCTTGATGGGAAGAGCTGTACTTGAGAAACCATTTGCAATCATAACAAGGACTCGGGTTGACCTGAGGTAATGTTAACTGTGGCGGAGTTCCTTACTCAATATCCGTTTATATAAAACATGTACTTGCTCTCCTTCTGTTTTATATACAAATTCACGTGGAGTCCATCCCAGGAAGCTTATGATCTAGGCTTAGCACTAAAGGATGCTGACTGTGACATGAGTGGGAATGGCTGGAAAACACACAGGAGCCTGCCCTCGTAAGAGACAGTGATTGCCACAAACCCATTGTGCTAAGTCCCTGCTTGTATTTTCTCTCCTTGTTTGACCTCAGCTCCAGTAGGTATCAAAAAACCTTGCGGCACCCCTAGATCCAATTGTCCCAGGAAGAGCCCTGTGAAGCAGGAATGGTGGACTAAACTTCAGAAAGGACAAGGTTGCCTCTGCAGCATGCACATATGTGTTCTGTCCCAACCTCAATACACCTATTGCCTCCTCCTCAAGGCTCTGTTGCAACTAATCAGCCAGCACAGCTTCCTTATATACACCATCTTGGAGAGAGGATTTTGAAGACTCTCCAAAAGCCATGAAAGCAACTCCAGCCTCCTCGTCCCCTTCTTGGCACAGGATCATCCTTGAATGTGCAGGAAATGTGCAGCCATCTTGCAAAGCCAATTCCCTACCTGCTCGGCTTCCCCCTGCTGGCTTCTCAGCTGAAGTTGCCCAGACTGCTGCTGCTCTATCAGGCAGACCTCCATGGCTGAGGATGGTGGCACAAGAAGTGGTAAGTCCCAGGCAGGGAGATGCTTGGCTTTGGATGGCTGGACTGTGTCCCAGGGCCCCTCTGTGTTCCTTGATGTAACTTGAACTCTTAAGGTCCAAACAGTTTTGCAGATGAAGTGCAGAGGCTCTCAGACCAAGAGCCTGTGCAGAGCTGGTCTCAAGGGGCTTTTTCACACAGAGTAAGGTGAGCATGGAGGTTGGTTGCACATGGAGGGAGGTGACATGCTTCCTGAAAGGCTATGACCTTCGGCTATTCTCCCTTGTGTGTAAGTTGTGAAAAACTATAGGGACTTGAGTAGGTAAAACCTGTAACTGGCAGATAAGTTTTACTTTCCATCCCCAAAAAGCCACTGAGAGCTCAGCACAGGTCCCATCCTGCCTCCTGAGGGCATCTGTGAAAGTCTTGTCTCCCGTGACTGTCCCATAACAGCTCTCTTCTTGTGCCTCCCTCCACCCTTGCCCAGCTCACGAGCAGCTCTGAGGGTGTGAAAGGAAGGGACAACATTTATTCCAGCTCCCACAGACCAGCCATGCCCTGTGGCTCCCCGGAAGGATTCACCTAGGGTTGGAAAAGCAACAGGCATCGACAGGGTGCAGCTCCCCTGCCTCAGGTGAGCTTTGTACTGCACAGCCTCATGGGTTGGAAGGCCTAGGGGAGAGTTCCATGTGGATAATTGCCTCTCTGCTTCCTGCAAAGCAGCACTGAGGCATATGTCGCTGCTTTTCTGCTCGAAATCTATTCATCTGCAGACTGAAATGAGAACCAGCTGGTGGTTGTTTTGAATTTATTTTGAAAAAAAAAAAAATATCTTCTGTAAAGCATTATTCTGTTTTGAGTTCCTGTTTCCTTTCCCATCTGCCCAAGGAGCTGGGTTTGTAAGTCTCCCCCTGTCCGCATGTCCTCACTCACGGCATGGCTCCTCTGGGCTGGGTCCCAGTGCGGCTCCAGTGGGCAGGCGTGGGGCTATGTTTCTCCCTGCACTGTGTGCAGGGGAGCTTGTGCAAACTCTCTGTTTCTTAGTTCGGCATGTTTTCATCTGCTTATGCTTCCCCTCCTCCCGAGTTTCCCGGATTTGAGCAAATCCAGAAATCTCAAAGCAAAACACCGCTGAAACACCATCTGGTTTCACGTCAAAGCAGCACACTTCCCAGCCAGTCCTCTGCCAGCTGCTTGACTCTCCATTGCAGCTTGCAACTGCATATTATCACTGGCACGAGCACAGAGTGGCTGGCTTGGTGGTATTCTGCACCCACAAAGCCTCTGCAAATATGCAAAAAAACAAGGCACAAGGTCACTTTTCAAAAAATGGGCAGAGCAAACACAACAATACTGAGCAACCTCCAGACTGTAATTTTTACATCTTTCTTTGTTTTTCTGTGTTTGATTTTATGAGGGTACGAAACTCTGCTTTATTTGTTTAAAATGAGAGGCCACATGCTGCTCTCAGTTGCACCAAAATTAGTCTGGATTTACACTCAAGTTTTGGAGAAAATAAATATTTCTCTGCATCCCCTTTTTTGTTTTCTACAAATGCCCTTTCTATTTCCTTCAGTTTTTGGTAGCTATATCAAGGATTTCCTCACTGCATTTTTAATATTTATTAAAGAAATTGTGGCTTTCAAAAAGATTTCACTTTCTTTTGCAACTTCTAATAGTAATTAAAATCTCTTCTGTAACGCAGCACAATTTGTTCTGATGTCTTTCAGTGCTTTCAGAGATCTTTGCTGTTCTTCCTGGGCACTTCTCATATTTTTAAGACCAGAGGGATCTTTATGATTATCTGTTCTGACAATAAATCTTACTCAATAATTTCTGCTTCAGCGTTTCTTGAGATGCATTGTATTTTTGAAAAAAGGCTGTTTAAACTTCAGTTCAAGACCTCAAACTGTGGAAGTTCTACCCCATTCCTACACAAATGGTTCTAATAGTTTAAGGCTTTTGTTAAGCAATGCTCCTTATAGGTCCTCTGAATTTGCTTGGATTCTGTTTCCAACAACAACAAAAAGTTATATTCCTGGTTTTTTTCTCTCTACCTGATTAAAGAGCCCTAATCTTAATAATTTCTTCTTGTTCTGATAATGGTAGATAGAGCTCAAGTAATCTTTTGACCTTCTGTTGGGTAAACTTGGATTGACCTTCTTAAGTTTCTTGCTAGAAGTATGTTTCCCAGATGCTGTATCTCTCTTGAAGCTCTTCCCTGAACTCTTGACCGTTGCTGTGTTGTTTTTGAACTGTGAACACTGACATATAGCCACACATTCTCTTTTGATGCAGTGTAGTAGTTTCTGCTGCTGTTTCAACAGTAGTGTATACTGAGGTAATGCCACCTCTCTGCTTTTACATGATACTTTCGTGCTTATAGGTCCAAGCATTACATTTGTTCTACCGACAGTATCATGTCAAGGGATCATGTTTAACTGATGGCATACCATGACCCCTGGGTGGAGTCAGATTTGTAATCATCCCTTATGGAGGTGTTACTATGCAAGGAACTGTCTTCCTCTGTACACACAGAACCATCACCATCCTTGGCTACCATATGAGTGATCCCACTTTGGATGCATTCTACAAATTAATTTGTCATGCTGGACAGGCTTTTAGGTAAACCTGTACATCTGAGCATGCTTCTTGGCTTTCCAAGCTTACCATTTTTGTATCATTCTAAATGCTACCTGCTTCCCATGAGCAATACTAATTTTGTGGATTGCTGTTTTTATATGACAATGCCAAGTGAGGCTGTAAAATTATTACTGATGTAAACATGCTGATAGAGTTATCTACATTAAATAAACTAGTGATCTCACCAAATACGGGGCCAAGAGTGCTTTAATAAGGCCTGTTCCCATAGAAAAGACATGCAACTTTCCTAGAGAGAAAGTGTCTCTGCAGATACTAAAACTGAACCAGACAAGTTCCTGAGTAACCTGACCACCTAATCACACCGGTTTGCACAGGAGCTTCAATGAGACGACTTCCAGAGGTCCCTCCCAACCCCAATTTTTCTGTAATTATATAATTATGTGACTAATTAGGTTACTACTTATAATAACTGTCACTGTTCTCTCCAGTCACCTTTCTGCATTTCACGCTGCTCCAATGACAGGTTAACTGGAATAGGCCCCACAGATTTAAATATCTTTTATATTAAATCTGCTTAATGAACTCTGTGGTTATGGATGAAATAGAGAGTACTTCATTATCAGGTAATCCTGGTCATGCCAAATACAAATCAAAGGTGCTTCCAAATGATGTCTTTCTCTGGAGGCTGACAATGTTGCAGAGGGTGCCTGCTGTCAGGTATGTGTTTTGGGGGCTGACACTGGTTAGCCTGCAGATATTTGCTGGGAGCCTCTCTTGCACTCTGCCCAAAGAGAGGCAACCAGAACCTGTGGCTGTGTTCTAGCCATTCCTAGAGTAGGACTACTAGGCTGGCAGTATCCAGGAGAGGTCACTCCTGTCTACCAGAACCTACTGGCACTGGACTGTCTCCTCCCACAGCAGATCATTACCCTCACCTCTTCAACATGCAAAAGTATGGTGGGAAGAAAAGTCATCTCGTGAAGGTGGAGGAAGGTACTGCTCCTTCTCTCCCCAGTCTGCCTTTCCCATCCCAGATGCATCCAGCAATATCAGAAATGTCAGACATATGACAGGCCTGTGATTTCCCCAAAACCTGTTTGATCAAGTTTATTTTAATAACAGAATGTTTCCAAATTGTTCTGCTTTTAATTTCTTTACCCTGATCACAATTCTCTTCCTAAACACTTAAACAGCCATTCTCAAGCTCCCGTTGAGGAGCTATTCCAACACTCAATGGTAACTTTTGATCAACCACCATTGTAGAATCTAAATTAGATTTGAAAGAGGTCTCTGAAGATCATCTGATTCTTACATCCACTCCAAGCAGGACCGACTGCAGAGCTGCATTGGGCTGCTTAGGGTCATATCTGTCTGATTACTGAATATCTTCATGAATGGTGATTTCACAGCCTCTCCAAGAATCTCCTGCACTGCTTGACCATCTTCATTAGGGTCAAGCAGTGCTTCGTAGCTTAATACCCAAGGAAAATTCCCTTGCTCTGTCCTTTGTCGACAGCATGTAATCCTGTTGTTGTGTCCTTTATTGAGATCTTCTAACGTATTCCCATGAAGCTTTCCCTTCCATTTCCCATATTAGTCTTGGTGCCATTCCCACAGTGTCTAAACTAACAGGGGCTAAGCATGTACTTGCTATACCTGAGAGAGTCTGGAGCACTACAGCTCTCCAAATGTGCTTCATGCTAAGAAGTGCGCTCTAGGGCTAGAAAAGAGAAGCATGGTAGAGGTAGGAGGCAGCTGGAACCCCTGTCAGCTTCCAGAGAGGCCTCTGGGGTGACACAGGGCACTGCATGCCCAGGGCTGTGTTTGTGCAGCCTTTTGCCCACCCTGATGACACAGTTGGTCCTTTATCGCTGCTGCCTGAGCTGAGTGTTGTGCTCCGACTGCCTTCAGTGTTTGCTTTCCTCCTTGTGAGTTCAGTTGTTTTGCATCTGCGAGGCTGAGTGGGTGGTGTGTAGTTTCTGTACACTCTGTTCTTTTGGTGAGTTTGGTTTAGTCTGTGTTTTTAAATGCAGGTTGTGCTTCGCAGAAGGGATGTTACTGTCACTGAATGGCATCATCCATCTAAGTACCTGGTTTAGCTTTTGCACCAGAAAATCTGATGAGATATAAGATGTCATCTTTTTTTTTTTTTTTTTGTTCTGGTTAGAGGAAGTCACGATGTTTTTTCAGGGAAATCTTTATTCAAAGATCTGAAAATGTATAAACAAGTAGATACTTTCTCTGCTTTCCTTTGTCAGGCTGTCAAAATTTTCCCAGGCCACCCTGGTGTGTGATTTTCACTTGTTATTCCTTCTTCTGGATGACAACAGAGAAATGAGTTGACAGGCAGTGGTGTACGAAGGCAGAGACTTGCTCTGGGGAGACAAGTGTTTAGCTTTAAAGAAAACTTTGCTGTGGTTTTGGCAATGTTGGATCACTGGCCCTGCCACAGAGTGATGGTGACTTT